AAATAAAAATCTTAATAAATTCTTACCCGCTTAATCAATAGAATCAAAATATGTTCTAAAGTTAGGTGATGCTGACATTTATCTGAATTTGAAAGAACTAAAAGATAATTTAAAATTTAAGACCAATAAAAATGTCCCAAGGTGAGCCACTCTTCCCTATAAATAATTTTCTTTGGTAATCATGACTTTTTAAAACAAAATTAAAAATTAAGGGTATATTATTATAAAAAAATTTGGTGAGTTAACAACGTAGTTAAATATATTTGCTTGCAGAACAGGCTCCTATATTAAATACTATTTCTGCATGCATCACACTTTGCATGAAGCTGATCATTAAGTTTTAAATCATTTAGCGCATCTCGTTAATGGTAATCCATGAGCCGTGATAACTCAGGGGATAGAGCGTTCGTCTGTCAATAAGGTGAACCGGGATCGAAGCCTAGCGATGCTGGGCGATACGAATTCCGCATCCGGTTTTCACCGACTACAGTGCTGACGTAAAATATTTACAGTGGTAGACGTAACAAGGCTGAGGACCACAGTGGTGACGCAAATAAAAGAGGCACAAGGATATGATAAATTAAAAAACTATAAAACCATCTTGTTGATGAACAAATTATTTCATATGGGAAACAATCAGTATTCTTTCCAAAAAAAGAAAAAAAAAAACAATCTAACCCATTCCTGAGATAAATGTGGGAAAATTAACATCCGTCTAGAAAACTAACAGCTTGTTAGATTTCTGATTTTGATTCTAAACGAACAAATTTTAACATTCATGCTGATTTCCAAGTAAGATGCTCTGATTTTTAATTACGTGTGTAAAGTCTTTGATAATATATATATATATATCCAAAGTTATATAAATTATAAAGTGTGTTGAAAAATAATAGCGCTGATGAGTTGTATATTGATGAGTTGTACCATATTATCTTGAATTATACGGACTATAGTTCAACTTGTAACAAAGATGGTTTAATTGAGCACCTTAAAATACGATGCAAATTTGTCTTAATTTTGAAACAAATTAGCTTTAATGTTGAAGCATAGCTCTAATGTAAATTATATGTTGAAATGTGGAAAAAATTTGTTTTAATGCTGAATAAAATACTCTCTCAGATAAATCGGTTAACGTTGATCAATATTACGGTGCAAAATTGCTTCAATATTGAAGCAAATTTGCACTACATAATAAATCAACATTAACTGATTTATCTGAGAGTTTATTTTATTTATCTTAGAATGTGTCGATATCACACGGTGTACCATATTATCCTTAATAAACCTGATTATGTTATGCGTGCTATGGTTTAACTTTTACGAAGATGGTTCAGTTTAGCATTTTAAAATGTGGTGCAAGTTCACTTTAATGTTAAAGCAAATTTATTACGTTAAATCAAGGTTAACCGAATTATCTGGGAGTGCATTTATACCATAATAAAACTCTATAAAAATACAAAAGAATAATATCAGAGAATCTGCAAATGGTTTAAAATTCTTATTAAATATATGTTGATATTAAACAGAACAAAAATGGTGAAACAGAAACTCAATTTTTGATTCTGATTAATTTGTAAAAGTAAAATATAATCGATATCTAATTGAGCTTCATTATATATTGTTAAGAAAGCAGCTGCATTACATCTGAAAAGTCACTTTTGACAGATTATATATTTTTACGTAGTCTTATCAGCACTTTAGTGCATTTTAAATAACCTTTCTGTTCTCAGATATACCTTTTGTCTGATATTTTCTGAAACTTGGTAAGACTCAATTTTTTTGTGACGAATTAATCTATGTTTTTATAGAATGGTTGATGAATGCAGAGTTGCCAAAATTAAAAACGGAATATCTCAATAACATATAATCTAATGATTTAATTTTCGCGTTCTAAGATGAAATCATTATGGTTCGAGAACTAATCTTAAATTTTTGTGGCGACGATATTTTAAGTTGAAGAAAGAACTTTCTCTGAAAAAAAATGCCTTTTTTTGACGGATTTGGACTCCTGACCGTCAAAATATGGGCGGTTATCTGGAAATAAATAGTGCCGATAGTTGTAGATAGGAGAGAGGACGAAAGTTTCAGACTATTTATAATACTTTCACACTTTGCATATTTCATTGTATTTTTCGAGCAATTTAAAGAAACTAAATACATTTTACACGCAATTATAATACACGTTTTTCAAACGATGATAATTAAATAAAAAATAATTTTTTACAATAATTTATTATTTAATTGTTTATTTTAATTATGGTCAAAAAACTTTTGAAAGACAAATAATGCAATAAATGAAAAATAGTGTATTCAATTGCTTACGTCATTTTTAACTGCATAATTTTAAATGACTAAGTCCAAAATGTGAACAGAATTGATCAAGTAGATTTTAGGAAATAAAAATTTAAAATATGACTTTTTTTTACTACTTAGCATGAAAAAGGAAAACGGGGCAAAAACGGTTGAGTTTAAAAAACGTGTTAATTTTAAGGGGCTTAAACTTTTGACCACTCTCCTGCCTAAACTATTGAGATCATATTTTCCAGGTTATGGCTACCCTCCATATTTTCTGGGTCAAGAATTGAAACTCTTCTAACATAAGGTATGTTTATTGAGAAAAATATGTTTTTGTATCTGATTTCATATTAGTGACTAAATTTGAGACCTTCGAACCATTAAGACTGCAGCTTAGTACGAGACAATCTGAGTAATATATTAAAAGTTAATAACTCCCTCATGCATATGGATCTCACATAAAAACATACAGTGGTGGCCAAACGTGTGGATATTTTTTGAAATTTTCATGTTTTTCAACTTTATGTGCTTGTAGAATATATTAGAATGTAGTAATTTAATGTAGAATTTAATAACAATAACAGAATTTAAATATCTGTATTACAAAAAAAGTTATGTTCATTTTAGTACAACAGACAAACACAAATCGTTTTGAATAAGGACGTGTTTTGTAATATAAGCGTACTAGCCAATCACAAATACTGTTCCTAGGACCTGTTTGTAACTATAGTTTAGGTTATTTGGGTGGTAAAAGAGTTATTGTTGTGGAAATATTTTGAGGAAGGATGCATACTAGTACAATTAAATAGATTATTGCTGTTTTTGAATATTTAAAGTCCTTTTTTTAATTAAACTAATTTTAAACAATGTCATCAACAAGAAGAACTAATTGGACAACTACAAAAAAAAGTCGAATTGTCATATTGAGAGAAAATGGCCTCGTTTATGCTGAAATTGAAAGACAAGTTGGTGATTCAGTAACTTGTTCCGGTGTGCGAAAGTTCTGCTTACGTTATGAAAAAACGAAATCGGTGGTAAAAAAGCCAAATCAAGCCGAAAAAAATGCACAAGTGCTACTGCCGATAGAAAAATTAAACGGCTATGCCTTCAAGAGAGAAAAATTTCATCAGATGCCATTAGATGTGAAATGAATGCAGTGGGTATTGCAGTAAGTTCAAGAACAATAAGAAGAAGGTTATCAGGATTTGGACTACAAGCTAGAATTCCAAGGAAAAAGACCATATTTAAATCAAAAGCAACGCGAAAAACGAGTTAAGTGGGCAGAAGAACACATTAAATGGTCAGAAAATCAATGGAAGCAAGTAATCTGGAGCGATGAGAATAAAATATCACACTTTGGGAGTGATGGTAGAAAATACGTGAGACGTAGAGTAGGTTAAGCACTTCATCCTGATTGCATTGAAGCAACTATAAAAAACCCAACAAATGTCATGATTTGGGCATGTATGTCTGCAGATGGTGTGGGACGAATTCAAGTAATTGATGGCATCCTGAATGCCAAATAATACATCGAAACTGTCCTGAAACCAAAATTGATTCCTTCCGTCAGGTATCTCTTCCCCAACAGCGCACCATTTATTTTTCAGCAGGATTCAGCTTCATGCCACACAGCAAAAGTATGCTAAGCATGGTTTCAAAATAAAGGCATAGATATATTACCATGACCAGGAAACAGCCCTGATCTCAATCCAATTGAAAATTTGTGGCGACGTTTGAAAATTCTTGTACGAAAAAAGCGTCCATCCAATAAAAGACAACTTATTGAAACTATAACTGATTCTTGACACCATGTGATTACGAAAGATGAACTCCAAACACTTGTTCACTCGATGAAAAGACGCTGTGAAGCTGTCTTAAAAAGTAAGGGTTATCCTACTAAGTATTGATTTTGTAAGTATCACTTTAAAAAAATTCAAATCTAAGGTAGATCTTACTATTAGTTGCATAACTTTTTTTGTAATACAGATATTGTAATACTGTATTTATTATTACATGTTACATTAAATTACCTTCAATTTGATATGTAAACGTTTGAATTTAAGTGAAAATTAATATATTCTTCAAGCACACAGAGTTGAAAAACGTGAAACTTTCAAAAAATGTCCACACTTTTGGCAACCACTGTATATATTTTTGCTTCATAATGCTATTGACATTCGTATTTGGACTGTAATTTAAATTTAGTCCTTATTTGGAGACTCCAAATAGTTCTTTGAAATCGCACCAGGTGGCAGGCCATTAAAGAAAGTTAAGAGAATATTATGTAATCTCTTTGGAGTCGACGGAAGATTCAAGAAAGAAGTGAAAATCTGATATTCTGTTAATTTATTTTGGAGGGTATATTAAATTACTGGAAAGGCTAATATATAATTTTACACCTTATTGTATTTAGTAAATGAAGTATGAGTATTCAGTTTTTCCAGGATTAAAATTATATAGGACATGAAGACACCAATTTTTGACTATACAGGACAAATATTTCCAAGAATAAATTATTACTCCACAATCCTGAGACAATAAATCGGCTTGTACCATATCGAAATGTTTTTTACAACTCAATTAAAAATTCAGGCATGAGATGGTTAAGGTGTTTCGTGTTTTATTTTGTATGGAAAGTATGTATTAGAAAATGTTTTATGAATTTATATTTTATTATTCGATTTAATTTTTTATGCACATTTCAGATTACAGATGGCATTCATAGCTAGCATTTTGTTGCTTGTGTACAGCACCATTGCTGTCGATGCTTTATTGAATGAATGTCCACCTTTAGAATCAACATTGTGCACCTGCACAATCAAGTGGGGTAATTTAACTATATTTTAGTACAATTAATTGCTTGTGTGTATCTGTTTCCTTTTAAGAACGTTTTTTGACTTATGGTTCTTGCTCGCTTTTTTCGTTAATCGGATTTTTTCCAACTGTTAAAAAGATAATATAACTCAAGACCTAACTCAATATTTAGAATTACCAAACACTGTAAAATATTCCGGATCAGATCACAATAAGAAATATAGGCTTTTTGAGTGCATCATCCGTAAAATCCATTTTACCGCAAAATCAATTTTTGTCGTAAAATATTATACCGTAATTTTGGCTGTAATAATAATTGAATTCAAGTGATTCTGCCACTCTACGGCAATTATTGCTGTATAAATTACAGTATTGCTCCTTAAAATGTTCCGATAAAAATGGATTTTATGGAAAAATGTAACAGCACTCTCAGTGCCTGTGCTTTTTACCATAATTTGAATCGGAATCTTTTACAGTGTAGATTACCACGGGACATTAAATTAAATGGTCTCTAAACAAAGATGGAAATTTTTTGACTGTTTCAAGTAATAGGTATTTTATAGATGACTGTAATTACTGACAGGCACCTGTTAAGAGCAAACTGTTAAGTTTCATGAATTTCAAAAAAATTATTATTTCTTACATATTGAATACTATCCGATTGAACATGCGTAAAGTGCAAGTAGTTTGATAATATATTTAATTTTTGTATATTTATTTGAAAGGTAGATTTCAATACTATGGTTATTAAGAAAAAGTATATGATTTCATAGTAACAGAGAATTTTTTTTTTCGAATTCAGTTTCAAAAATTACCAAAAATACACACGTTTTTTGAGTCATAAATGTAGGTACCTCTAATTTTCCTATGATGTAGGTCAATACTTTTGTCTTCAATTTTCGTTTGTCTGAATGAATATGTGTTTTTTTAAAAATAATTTTGAGTTATACAATTAGATTTATTGTAAATAAAATATAATTCACGTTGAACTTGAAGGAAATAAGATACCCTTTGAACAAAAGAGACACCATCAGACAATAATTTTGCAAAAAGAACATTTTTTTAATCATTAATAAAAAANTACGGACTTAGGTTGATTCTTACTGCTATTTTTACTTCAAGATAGTTAGCTTTTCGGACCGCATTCGTAATTTATATTAGTAGTTCGAAAACATTTCTTTATGTGAACATTTCTTTATTCTGTTCTATTAAATTATTTTGTGTTTTTGTGGGGACATTTTTATGATTATCAAAGTACTTGTAAATAAAATTTCAATTATTTCAATTGGAGTGATTTGAATTGGAGTCATTTTGACCTAGTTTTTCCTTTTAGGTCCCTTAGTTACTTGCTCTAAAATAACAGATGTAAAAACATTGAAGTCAACACTTGAAGTGTTGAAAGGTTACTCTATCGACCTAAAACTCTCCGATGTTGAACTTCCTGAATTAGCACCAGACACATTTCAAGGATTGCATATTGAGCTTCTTGCTTTGAACAAAATTGAAGTTGCTTCATCAGATGTTATACAATTCCAAGGATTAGAAAAGTCTTTGATAATTCTTGAAATTAACAACAGTTTTAAAAAGAATCCTCTTCCAGGTTTGAAGTTAGACAATCTTGTGAATTTAAAGGTAGGTTTCAGAAAAAATTTTTCAATAAGATTTTAAACAATTATGAGAATTATTGGGGCAAGTTTGTCTAAAAGATTTCTCGAAAATCATCTTAGAGTAAATTATTTTATTATAGAATAATTTATTCAGAGTTAGAGAGATTAATCAAATTATTTAGTGCTTAACCTATTCCCTGCACGAAGGCATGTAAACTGCATTCAATATAGTAAACGTGTTTGGTAAGCAAAATTATCTATTTATGGTTTTGAACTCATTGAAATCTGTTATGAGCATTAGAGAGGAATACGTTATCTATAACTTACTAGTTTTACATTTTTTTCCAATAAATCAGAATCTGTATTTATGCAATAAAAAAAATTTGGGAAAGTTTAAATTTGATGTAACTATCTTAAAATAAAAATAACCGCGGGGGTGAGAGAATAGTAGTGAGCAGGGTCAGAGCCCTTTCGTCTTTCATAGCAATTAAAATAAACCAGAACTTGAACAAAAACTAGCAAATAAAGTTAATTGGGTTTTGCATCCATTTAACTTTATTCGATGTTAGTTCAGGTTTTGGTAGTAGTTTTATCAGTACAGTAAAAGCTTCAAAATTTTTAAAGTTTTTTAAGCTGTGAAAAGTTTAAAAGGCTTGTTTAGAAGGTTTCATCAACAAAAATATGCAGTGTATTTTCAAAACATTATCCCTCAGAATAATATTTTTGGGATCCTTATCTTGGATAATGAATTAAATAAAATAATAAATTTTCAATTTGAAATTAGGTTTAAACTGAGACGAGTTTTGTATTTGTAAACAAAGGAAATGATGCATTTTGCTAGGCTGTTTTATAGTTTAAATTTTAAAAAAGGGAATTAATCTGGTTTGCTTTTCAATTTTTTTTTACTTTTGATAAGTAGTACTTGATAAGTACTCGCTTTTTATTCTCAATTTGCTAATGATTCGTTGAAGTTTGATAGTGTTTTCCTTTATATTTTTTTAAAATTAATTACTTGCTACTTAAACAGTGCAATTCACAATAACATTATTTGTGGTACTTATAAGCAGCAAATGGACACATGGAAACACTGTTTAACGGAATAAAACTGTTACAAATATTAAAAAAAATTCGAGTGTATGAAATTGGTAATTTCTTTAGATACGTTATTTGTCTTCATAAGTAAATGTCTTAAACTTAAAGTTTCAATTAAAAACTATACAAAGTGATGGATAAATTATGTAAATACAAAGGAAATAGTTCAAAGTTAACGAATATGTAATGAATTAGCTCTTTTTTTAAATTTGATTACTCGATAGTCTTATAATAATTTTATGAAATGATAAACTTAGGGGATAGTGGGTTCGCCTTCCAGTGAGGCGAGTCAAATTCGAATCCCAGTCGATATGAATTCCGCATCCGGTTTGCACCGACTACAGTGCTGACGTTAAACATCCTCAATGGTAGACGGATCATGGGTTAGAGTCTCCTTGCCGTCAGACTAACCGTGGGAGTTACTCGCGGTCTTCCTCTTAATGTAACGGAAATGCTGGTTAGCTCCATCTAAAAGTCCTCCACGAAGGCAAATTTCTCCCAATATTCGATCCAGGAGTTCCCTTGTCTTCTGGATTGGTTCAAAATTACAAGGCTACGGAGTTGAACATTAGTAGTCATTAAACCATAAAATTGAGTCGACTGTTCAACGACGGTTATAAAAATAAAATAAAATATTAGCTTACGGCAGGGGTAGCCTGGTCGGTAGGGCGCTGGTCCCACGTCCAAGAGTTCGTGGGATCGATCCTCACCGGTCGAAGACTCCCCGCGTAGTAAACGGTGGCTGAAGCACGTTAAATTTGTTGAGTCGCAAGATCCTCCATGCCCCCATAACAAATCAATACCTAAGGGGGTACTGATCAAGGAGTTTATTTGTGTTCTGGATTGGTTTAAAAATTACAAGGATACGGAGTTAGAGATTAGTAGTCTTAAACCAAAAATTGGGTCGGCTGTTCAACGACGGATTAAAAAAAAGAAGAAAAAAAAATTAGTTTATGCCCAAAAATAGGGACAATTTTATTTGGAAATAAAATAACAGTAAATTCTGCTTATAGTAGTACGGAATTGATTTAAACTCGTAATTCAGTACAATGCTCCACATGTAATTTGGAAATAAAATAACAGTAAATTCTGCTTATAGTAGTAGGGAATTGATTTAAACTCGTAATTCAGTACAATGCTCCACCTGAAATTCGGAAATAAAATAACAGTAAATTCTGCTTTTAGTAGTAGGGAATTGATTTAAACTCGTAATTCAGTACAGTGCTCCACCTGTAATTTGGAAATAAAATTACAGTAAATTCTGCTTATAGTAGTAGGGAATTGATTTAAACTCGTAATTCAGAAAGAAAAATGAGGCCTACTTAGTAACTAAACAAGAAAAGTTTTTAAAGAAAGATTTAAAAGTTCAGGTTTTTTTTACAAATATATTAGTAGAAAAATATTAACACTTTACTTAAAATGAAATTCCGTTCAGCAATGAATTGATAATAATAAGTAAAACATCTTTACATTTGTATTGTCATAATTGTATAAAATGTATCGATTAATATTTATATTATACTTAGTATTGTATTATATACTTCGTCAATGATTGATGTTTTAACTTTGTAACCTTCGGCTGTGTCCTTATAATGCACAAGGTTTTCTTTTTTGATGTTTGTTTATTTTTGTTATGTTGAATCGCATTAACTTTTGACCTTTGTCAAAATTTTATTTTTAGTCTGTGATCATGAAGGAAAATAACATAGATGATTTAACTAATGACTGGTTTGCTGGAGGCTCAAAAAAACTATCTACTATTTTGCTACTAAGGAATGATCTTAGGACACTAGGAGACAAAGCCTTCCAATCCTTAGATGGCTTGATGATGCTTTGGATTACTGGAAATTCTTTTAGAAAAATATCAAGATCTATGTTCCCTTCAAATTCTAATGTTCTAGAGAATATTGATTTGTCGTAAGATTCAATTTGATCTGGTAATATTTTTTGTGCCAATTATTTTAAATGGAATACTGGTGAAACCGTAATAAGAGGTATCTAAAAAATAAATTTAAAAGAGCTTCTCTTATTGAAATTTAAGTAGCATTATATAAATTACCTCCAGGATTTAAAGTGGTAAGATAAGCATTCAGAAATGAGCGCTCATTCTCAGGACTTGCCAGACGTATTTGGTTATGACTTATTTTAATTTGAATCTTCTGTATGATAGATTTCCGTCGTGCAGTTTCAGTATAAGATTAATTACTGTTAATCACAAACAATCATTTAACAATGGATATAGATTTTTAAAAATAGTGAACGAATTGTTCCCAAGTGTGGCAAAAACGTGCATAAAACAAACATCCATCTGAGTTGATAGTAGGTCTTCATTAAGTTAAATTAACTTACTTCAATAAATGTTAGTTCAATAATTCAATTAAATAAAAAGAGCAATTCAGTTTTCTCTAAGTGTTGAAACTTTTGCGTATTTAATTGGGTTATCCCGAGGAATAAATTTTCGGTTGTATCTATGAAAACACACGATATTGCTTAAATCAGGAATGGGAATTTCAAATCTGAGGTTGGTTCTGCTCCTAAAGATACAGATTATTTTTAAAATCAGCTTTATTGACTACTTTTTTGTCGAAGTCAATAAGCTAAAAACGTTACGTATAGCAAGGGGTTGTGTAAATGATGCCACAAACTTCTAGGGGAGTAAATAATATCATAAAGATTAAAATTTCATAGAAGCTCATACCTGAAAATGTCATAGTACGTGTTTAGGAGAGCTTTCTATTATGATTTGTTCAGAAGCATATGAAGAAACAATTCATAATGGGCAAGAGCCTCTAGCGGTGTATGATGACATTGTCGGACATGGGTTTCTATGCAACTTTAATTTTGATAATGTGTCCCTACTTTCCTAGAAATTTGTCCTATATTTCGAAAAAAAAAATAAAATTATTAAGTCATTAAAAAATCGGAGTTTGTAGGGAGAAAATGATTGTAGATTTGAAACCAGTGATCTTAGTCAGCTCTGCAGATGCAAAAGTACCTGAGATCTGTTTAAAAAAAATCATGCAACAGAAAGAAAAATCAGTTCCCTAGTGTATTGAATGATACGCAGACTGTAAGAACTGTAATGTATTATCATCCGAATCCGGTGTTAAAAATTATGTGTTATTTCAAGTTTATACCAAATTGAGAGTTCATAAATAATTATTAGAAAAGTGCAGAAAAGTTAATTAAACTAAAGCTAAATTACAATTTTGCATATTATAAAGAAGTCATTCTTCATGCTTTTAAAATAGAATTAAACTTCTATCTTGCAGGAACAATAAAATAAAAGAGATTCCCTTTGGTTTGTTCAGCAATATGCCTGAATTGGCCTATGTCAATTTGGCTAATAATTGGATTGATACAGTTGAGGAGGATGAAACCATATTGAAAAAGACACGGATACATTTAGAAGGTGAGTACTGCCTTTTAATGCATTTGTGATTAGCTGTTTTAAGAAAATGCCTTTGAATGGATTAAATGTTAAAATTATTTTTACATCTTGTGCATGTTAATACATTAGCTAAAAATGTGCGTCGAATTAAAATGTCTTTCATATTAAAATGATAACTAATATTAAAGTTGCGACGCTGTCCTCATTAATGAAAGAAAATTATTTTCTACGTTTTAGAAAAGAAAGTTGCATACAAATTTAGACAGAACTTTTACTTGATGTGAGTTAAGAATAATTTTAATGAGAATATACTAGTGACTAGTGAGTATTATACTGCTGAATTGAGTTTTAATAATCGTAGTGGTAGTTACGCCCCAATACTCCTCCACCAGAATTTTATCAGGGATAGAATTGGATGAACGGATACCACTAGTTGCTGTACTTGTGAAAGACCGGGAGAGCAGGATAAAGATCACCTGGTTTTTGATTGCTGAATGTGAGAGGTGTATTAACTTCATGGTAGTAGTCGCTCCTGTGTTGCCTTTAGCAGTCGAGTGTATGCAGGCTGACATTGTGTGTAATAGAGACGAGACTGAGCAGCAACAGCGTGAGGAAGTGGATAATGTTGTAGTCACAAGTAGCAAGTATACTGTTCAATGTGGACCATCCAATGAAGTAGGCGTTACCAGATCGAAGTGGGCGTTACTGTCAAGATAGGCCTGATCGTATCACACCCGTAAGTCACCAATGTGTGGGGGGGGGGAGTTATCGACAATGCCAATCTTCTATCAAAAGGTACCTCTTAATTGAATCAAGTTAGCATGTCTTATATACCAGCGAATTGATGTTTAATAATCATAGTGGTAGTTACGCCACAGTAACTTCAATGAAATTGAAAAATTGATAAGAATAACTTGAAAAGTAAAGTATTGATAAGAATTACTTTAAAAATATTGATAAGAATAACTATAAAAGTATCTTCAATTAAAAGATGGGTTTTGCACCTTAAAAAAAATCTAAAATTTGATTTATACATTGTTCAGAAAAATAAAATCGGTTTGGACTACCTTGCATTCATGAATAATCGGATTCTACAGCATATACCTTTCTAACCGCAGCAGAGAGTTTCAGAAGACAGAATACTACCTAAGAAAATACAATTTAAAATGTTTCCTTTAACAAGTGGATTTGAAACGATTCCCAGAAAGAGTAATGGATTTGTTCACTGCTTACAGATACTAGATTTGTACATTCTTCTGAGCTTGTAGTGGATTCAAATATAATTCTACAGCATATGCTTTTCTAACCGCAGCAGAAAGTTTCAGAAGACAGAATACTCACTAGGAAAATACAATTTTAAATGCTCCCTTTAACAAGTGGATTTGAAACGATTCCCAGAAAGAACAGTGGATTTGTTCATTGCTTACAGACACAGGATTTGTACATTGTAGTGGATTAAAATATAATTCTCAATCAGCTGCATTTACCATTGTAATCCCAAATAATTTTAAGAGATGAAATTTCAGTTAAAGACATAGTGTGACTTAATGAATTT